ACCTCATCCTGTCTTGGCTGTGGATTCTGTTCTATGAATCCTACATTTCACTTGTCTGTATGTTACAGTCAACCACCACACATCTGGGATCATTATCCACCCTTTAGAGACTGCAGATCTTTCCAAGGAACTGATTCTTGCCTTAAGATGCTAAAATTCCCAAGTTCCTAAAATTTCTAAATGGTCTAGGAACAGATTGAATGAATTCTCTCTTCTCTGTAAACCTCCCACTATTATCTTAGGTTTAAACAGAGGGGAAAAGACCATTTGCCCAATTGTTTTAGGCTGCCCACTAAAATTATGCCACTGAAATGTGGCAGCTGAGAAATAAAAGTGCAATTTCCTGCCATTTTTCATCAGGAAATAACATTTTAAAAGAAGGAAACCCTTCTTTTAGGACTAACACACTCTCAAATTAATCCCTCAATCCTCCAAAAACTCTGCCTGAGGAATGATGGCCCACCATCTTTGGTGATGTCACCATGTCAGTGTCCAATGGATAGCAACTCTTGATACTGGTTACAAGGCCCAGGACTTTCTCAGTGGTGGCACCTGTCTTCTCCTTAGACACATTTGCTAGGCCTGCTTGCTGCCAGCATTAGAGTCATGATGAAAACACACCTGTTTGGAAAATGTTAGATGCTCATGGTTTCAAAATTGCTGCTCCTTGTTAATCACTTCTGATGTCTAAGTTTTTTTAGGGCTCATCATGAATTCCAGTATTCAGTTTGCGGCTGTGTGCAGAATTCATTTGGGTTTTCTCCTATTCTATATTTCAAATAACTGGAAGTCCCCTGACACAATTTTAAGGTGATAAGAGGAACCTCAGGACTGTGGGGTTATTGTGTTGGTTTTGAGGCTGACCTAGAAGCCATGGGTCTTGGGAAGGTGGTGATGTGGTGGACAGTTTCTTTGGAACAAAACTTCTTCAATCCATTAAGATGTGACCGGTGGGCAGACAATCCAGATTTAAGGCAGGATCTCCAGTCACCTGCCCTGACCGAGGAGGGGTTAGGAGTTAGTTTCCAACTCAGAAAATCCCACACTGTTCGCTAGGGCAAACTTGATTCTCACTTTTTTCGGATGTTGGCCATAGTTGTGTTCTGTGATGTTTAAAGAGGAAGCTGCACACATCTCTCTCCCATCCCAGGCAGATGGATCTTTTTATCAGATGAAAGTGATGTAGGTATGCTTTGCAATGGGAAGCGCTGTTTAAGTTTTCATTTCCCAAAGAGTTGTGTGCTCAAAATTCCCCACCTAATTTTCTCCCAGTTGCAGGAAGCTTATCTTTTATAAGCAGGTAGGGATAGCATTTTGAGTGGGAAGAAGATAAAATGACTCCTTTCTCTCCTTTGCCTGCCTTCCTTCAGGAGCTTTGGAAAACTCTTAGCCCTTATCTTTATTTGAGCCCTCTTTCTTTCTCTCCATTGCTTCCTACATCGGTGACCCTTTTTTCCCCCTCCTTTTTTTGGGGGGGGGGGAGAAGGGGTCCATTGAACTAAATTATGCAGTACATAGGAAGGCATGGGGAAGTCTGAAATACAGAAATAATTTTTGGAATCCTGTTTGAACTGATTCGTTTCACTGCTTTGAATGGGATGGGTGATTAGATTATTACCAGCAGGATCTGGTGATTAAAGCAGAAAGGCCACAGAGACACAAAATCCTTGGAGGCATGCACGGGATCCAAGGCTTTTGCCAAAACGATGTGACCAGCACTGCACCACTGTAATACAAGCGCTGCCCTTTTTGTATGTGCGTGCAATGTCACGGGGCACATACAAAAGAGGTGGAGCTTGGGGGTTGCAACAGTGCGACATAGCTTTTGTCATTTGCCCCCCTTCTTCCCCAGAGACCTCCATCGTAGTCCTGCAGTGGACCAAATGGAGGTCTGCAGGTCACCAATCTCCATGCCACCCAAAATATTAGCATAGGAAGCTTGGTTGCATTTTCCGAGGGAAAACACTCCTTTCCTGCTAGATCACCTGTTCTGGTTGCAGCCTGCCTCAGGAGCAGACTGGCAGCAAAATTGGAGCCACGTAGGGAGGACACCTTCTCCAAATAGTAAGCAGACCATCTTGGAGCTGGGGCAAGGAGAGTGGGTGGATGACAGACGTCAAGGCCACAATAGTCCACCGTCTTTGCATGTCCTCCATTCCTTGAGAGTTTCCATCTACATTGAATTATGGACCATGCTGTCTTGGGAGGCTGGGTGGCTTGCATAAAATTTGGCATCTTACATCCAGAGTCATTACCTGATTATATTCCAGCTTGCCAAATCAGTGTATGAATTATTTGCAAGCAGCTATCGTGGCCAGAACGTGCTTGCAGAAACAGCAGAATTTCCTTGCGGTCTTAAATTAAGACTGGGCAACTCCTGCGATGCATATAGCCTTCATACCCCTTTTGGACAGCCCCTCTAATTCTCTAAAATTAATATGGTTTTCCAACATTTTGAGGTGAAAAACCTACAAAAACCATGGGGCAACCTCTTACTGAGAGCCAGTTTGGTGTAGTGGTTAAGGCTCCAGGCTAGAAACTGGGAGACCTTGAGTTCGAGTCCCACTTTACGCATGGAAGCCAACTGGGTGACTCTGAGCCAGTCCCTCTCTCTGAACCCTAGGAAGGAGGCAATGGCAAACCACCCCCGAAAATTTGCCAAGAAAACTGCAGGGACTAGTCACCAGGAGTCAGAAACTGACTTGGACACACACACACAACCTTGAGTTAAAAAAAAAAAGTAGCTTTATCAAACTGAGAGAGAGGTTGAAAAATCTCAGCTGAGTTCATGTGTGTAATGCAGGCCTTTTCGTTTGGACTCTGTCCACCCTGGGCCCAGAGATGCTTCAACACCTCTGGATAAGCATAGCTTCAACCTAAGTGTTAAGTGATGCTGGCTTTGTAGAAGGAAGAATTCCACGGAGTGGTGGAAACAGAGGCACATCTCCTGCAATCTGAAAGAGGGTGATTATAAATCATGATATTGATATGGTTTAAGTCTGGCTTGGTGATGATTGTAACTTGCCCACCCGTCCTCCTGGTCCTTGGTCGCTTCCCAGTCCTAAAAGCTCAGTTCTTTGGGCTGGCTTGGGGGGAGCAAGGTAACTTTTCAAGAGTTCTGGAAAGGGTGGGGAGCATGGAGTCTTCCACCCCCCACCCCCCACCCCGCTTGTGGGAAGGGTGGCGGTGTTGCTGAGCTGTTTCGTAGCACTTTGTGGGCAATGCAGTGAAACCGACAGAGTGAGTGACAAGTTGTTTACAGGTTTCCTTGAAGGGGCCTCTGGTATATTTCAGTCTGTCAAAGTTGCTTTTCTTTCTGCAGAACAATGCGTGATTGTTGTGTAGGGTAGAGATTTTTTTTTTCCCCTGCACAGAGTGAGAGATTTTTTTTTCTTCCTTTTTGAAGACTAAGTTGGGGGGGGGGAATAATGCACGAATGTGATACACACACAGAGTGTTAATATACTACATTACAATATAATAAAGATATAATTCTAGGAATGCAAATGGGAAACATCTTAGGTGTTTCTCTCTCTCTTCCCTCCTCCTCCTCCTGGCTACACTGAGTGGCTGTGTTCAGACAACATACTTACCCAGATCAGTGAAAGATCTACTCGGTGCATTTTATGCAACATGCAAGGATGCTTGGTTTGTTCTAAGGTGTCTTAGCCTATCCTGCAGACCCAACGTGTTGGAATAATTTATGGTTCAATGGCCATGCTCAGTATCTAGATTAAGCATATTGTGGGAATGCAAGTGATGGGTTGTTTTGTGTTTGCTGTTTTATTCTTTTCTTCTGGTTTCTTTTAAGGCCATGCCATCTCCCCTCTGACAGATAGCACCTGTAGAAAGAGTAAAGTGAAGGATGTGTAGCTGGTATGGCAAATAAAAGTAGTTCACCCAATCTGAAGGGTTTTTTTTTTAATTGTGCTAGTGCACACCTGTGTGTTCATTCTCTGCCTGTGCTCACAGAGACCTAGATTGGCAAAGAAAAAAAAACTTTAAATGAGTTGCGTATGCATCATTTTAACACTGCCTGTCTCCATCCCACATCATTCTCATGAAAGTGAGAATGGCGTTAAAAGGTTTTGATTCTGCTAAGCAGAATTTGCGAAGACTCCTTGAAGAAATGATTGCGCTTGTGCGTGTACGTGTGTGTTGTGTGTGTGTTTGAACCTGTTTGTGCAAACTACGTCTTCAGGGTGGAGACATACAGAGATACACACTTTTACAACTGATGCCCTCCTTGAGAAAATAAAATTGGGGGGGGGTGATCTCTGATTGGCAGAATTAAACTAAGACGTTTAAACAGTGCAGGTCTGTAACTCTTTCTCTATTTATACATATATTTGGCCACGCAATCCTTAAGTAGAAGGGAGGAGTTTGATCTAAATCGAAGTATTGATCTCCCCATTATGTGTGTGTGTGTTTCCATCTGATATGATACATGTGACATAATCGATTTTAGCAATGAGTGTATTTGGCCACCGGATTCTCTCCTACGCCTTGCCAGAGCACATTTTGGGAAAGTGAGGCTGGTGGGGGTGGGAAGGAGGGGGACGGCCCTTGATTTATTTACTGGTCGTCAGAAATCCGGGCCTCCCGTTGAACTTCTCACTTGCGTGTGATCCTTGATCCTGCTGGTGAAACGTGTGGCGAGCCCGATTGTAGGTGGAGATATTGATGGCTGGGCTGCCTTGGGGGGAGAAGGGGAGGGGGAGGAGGGGAGACCCTCTCTTCGGCGAGGCTCTCCCCCCACCCGGCCCGCCTCCATCCCCAATTGCTAGTGATGCCTTAGGAGAGAGACGGTACCCAGAGAGACTTTGCGGGCAGACCGCAGCCATGTGGCGCTGTTGTGGGGGGAGCTAAACGCACCGTCTCCTCCAGCTAAAGTGTGCTGCCCCTTTAAGAGACTGGTCAAGGAGTTTGAGCTTAGAGAGCGAGCGAGCGAGCGAGAGACAGAGAGAATAATCTATCGGTTTAGGAGCTTTGGATCCACTTGACAGGTTCAGTTGGAGGCGATCGTAGGAGGCTACCGGGTGTCACAGGGAGGGGGAAAAATCGATAAATTGTGCTCTCTCTCTCTCTCTCTCTTTCTCTCTCTCTTTTTTTTTTTTTCCTCCTCCTTTTTTCCAGCATGCTAACTGACCCTGATTTACCTCCGGAGTTTGAAAGGTGAGCTACTGCATGCTTTTTGTCGGCGCTCCGCGAGCCCGCTCGCGCTCCCGGGGTATCCGCGGGTGCCTTCTCCCCTCGGCGGGGCACGGATGGCAGGCGGCGCGCGGGGCTCCCAAACTTTCCCTCGAGGCGCGTCGGGAAGGAAATTAAACAAACCCCGCGGCACGGTAGCGCTCGGG